TCGACTGCCTGCTGAGCAGCCGAACAAAGGGCAGCAAATCAACATGTCGCAGCTGGCGAGCAGCCATTGAAAAGCTGCAGTCGAGCTTTGACTAGGGGTTGCACGCAAGGGTTGTGCTCTTGCTTAACCCTTTCGCACAGCCAATCAAAATGAGCTGGGGGCCGACACCTCCATTCGAGTTGATAAATGACTCGCTCGAGGGTAATTCAAGAATTGTTAACGATGCAAGCCCTTCAAAATATTTACGAGCACTGGTTAAGAGAGCTCTTCCTCTTGCCTTGGTGGGGCCCCAGCGAGAAAGACATCCTGTCTCAACGTGTCAGAGGATCAGCGGACAGAGCAGCTGCACAGGCACTTGGACACCTTACTCGAGTGTGACAGGATATGTTTGTTGGGTTATTAATGAAGAGGCGCGTCATGTGAGCAGCGTGTGAAATATGGAAATGAAACTCTAATATCTATAAACATCGGAAGTAGTGTTCGTAAATGTTGCGACTAACATGAAATGAAACTCCGATTTTGCATGATTTATTTTGATTTTGCTCCATCGTTCATGCAAAAATTAATAAAAATTAACTATACAAAACTAGAAGCTCTGATATCATAGTGCAAAGTTTTACATGAGCTTGAAGAATTGCCATGTTTAGATATATGTGTATATTGTTAAGCAATATTTATAATCAATCGTGTTATAATTTATTTATAATTTTAAAAAAATGTACCGATAAATTTCATTAGCCGTAAAGCTCTAGCTGAATAATACTTTAATAAATAGAGAGTTAGAAAGCTTTTTATTTGTATGAACTTCAATATATGCTTGAAAGGCTAGTCGAAGCATTAAGCTCAAATGTGACTAGTTAATGTAAGCAAACAATTATTATTTACAATTTTAAACTGTTGAGAAGCTTCTTTAGCATGAAAATATATTATTCTTTATTATATGTTCATATGTGCCGAGAGACCAGACTAAGAGTTGAGCTTAACGTAAAATATTACTATAAAAGACTGCCACATTTTTGGGAAGGTTTTTAAACTGTTTGCCTCGTAACCTTTAGCGATAATTGCTTTAATTTTCAAAGGCACCTGGCTGCCCAGGTAACCCAAAGAGCTGTCCACACACACACACACACACGGACACAGAGTCGCATTGCCCCCCAGCTTAAAGCTAATAAACTCCAAGGTACATGAAAGCGAATACCACGCAGCGGACTCATCCCAGCTCAGAGAGAATAAAATAAAAAATAAGAAAAAAAAAAAATGAAAATAGTATACAAAAAATGTTGGAAAATGAAAGCCCACTTTTCTTTTCATTAGAAGAAAAACGAAAGCGAGCAGCAGCAGCAGCAACACGCATTGTCCTAGCCAGAAAGGACATTCATTGAAAAACAAGAAGCTGCCCCAAGAAGCTGGCAAAAAAAAAAAAAACAAGCTAAAACAAGCCGAATTCCTGCCCCGCCCACTCGCAGATGAAAGTTAACAAGGCATCAAATAACAGGCGGCTGCCTTAAAAGGAAAAAAAGGGTATCCTAGCGACCAACAAGAGCATCAGGACATGAGCCAACGAATGTCCATCGCAAGAAAAACGAAAACGAAAACGAAAAAACGACCAAAAAACGTAGCTTAAAATGAAATGAAGCGAGGCGGGGCGGTGATGGTTGTGGGTGGGGCCAGCTTAGTAGTCGAAATTTACCTGCGAGAACACACGCAGCACATATATGTGAGCACACAGTGTGTGTGTGTGTGTGTATGTGTATGTCTCGTATGTCCTGCGTGCGTCATGTAACGCCTACAGCTACGACTAGAAGCAATGTCAAGCAACAAAAAACAGGGCAACTTCGTCTCAATCAAAACTCAACAGCACTACAGGATAATCAATTGAAACTTGCAGCCTGACAACTATGAAATACCCTGTAAATAAACCAGAGAACTGTATTAATCAGGAAGGATCAAAATTCTATCTTGAAATCTTCTATCACGGAATGAAAACATGAGACTTCTTCTGATCAAGGCTCATACAAAAATCGAAGTTCCATTTACATTGTAAGAAAAAACGATAGGATTGTGAAATACCCAAAATATAGGAAAGAAAGTCCTTCTCTATGAAAATATATGTATATACGAATGTATGTATGTATATACGAATAAATCACATTCAACTTCCACTTCTCTACAATTGCAAAAACAAAAAAATATTTTCATATCCAAAAGGTTTTTCGCTGCATCCATTTAAGAGCGTGTTATTCTCAAGAAATACCCTGCTAAAAAGGATGTTCTTAAAAAAGGACATCCACACATACTTGAAACTGTCTAAATGAACGCCAGCACAAACACTTGAAAATACTCTGAAACTCCCTCTCACACTCTCTCTCTCTTTCTCTCTAACTCTCTCTGTCTACCTCATGCTCCACCAGGAGTTGCGTCTCGTTCGTTCGATATAGAAATCATTTCCTAAGCGCGTGCATCGAAAATGTCCTTTGGGGTTAGTCTGAAAAAATTCATTACAAAAAAATGTCAACGACTATAAAAATAAAACTGGATTTTAGTCGAGTTAATTTGTCGTTTAACATCCTGTCAGCTGCCGAAGCACCCAACTATTTATCACATATACGGGGGAGAGAGAGAGACAAGGAGGGCATAGGGGGAAGTAGAGAGAGGCGGAGAGAGAGAGAGTGAGAGTGAAATAGAAAGATATGGGGGAGACAAAAAGAGAGAGAAACTTGAGACTCCTTAAGAGAGAGAAAAACTTCTGACTCCTTAACTATTATCACTGACCATACAGCATGGCTATGCACTATATATGATATTTTATTTTATTTTTTTGAATTATAAAATCATCAATCAGTATTAATGGTTAGAGTCCTTGAAAGTCTTCTTTGAAAAATGTAAATGAAAAGAATTTCAGTAAAATTCTTAAATTTTATGTAGAATTTATCTTGCATTCACAAATAAATTATTCTGGAAAATACGCTCTTTATTTCCATCGGTTTCTTCTTTTCTGTTGAAACTCAGTCATTCCCATTTTCCACCACTATGTACTATTTTCAAATTATTACTACTCCATGGATTATTTATTTGTGATATTCAAAGCTGTCTGCATCTCTGTTACGAGCTCAATATACGCCACGGTCAGTAGTAAATCAATCCTTCTATAAAATATTTATGAATAACAATTGTCGGATATTCTTCGCTTAAACTTCCAGCGACTCACTCTCACGGCAGCTTAGCTTGAGCCTCGATCAGTTGAAGAGTCACAGCTGCAACAGTTTGAGAGGCACTCGTTCAACACTTGCTGCTCTTTCTTTGGACACGCGTCGTTTATATTTAGATTTCGAGTCGCAGCCATATGTTTTCTTTTCATGCCGCACACACTTTCACTCTACATATAGATTTGTATGCGTATTCATATATCCTTTCGTCCTGCCGCATGATTACGACCAGTCCAAATATGAATTCGCTGCGCCTGCGCCGTCGGCCGTCGACCATCGTTGACCATTGGCCATTGGCCATGTCGAAAGGCATTTTACCATGCCACATAAATTCGTAATTAAAACGAGTCAAAGGATTCGAGATCGGTGAGGTCCTTTTTCACAGCAAGCAGCGGCGGGTGGTTGGCTTGGCTCGGCTTGACTTGGCTGCGGGCCAGCTGCTGGTCAGGCTGACCATAAATTATACAAGGATGCGCAATCCTTTTGCCAGCACACACACACGCACACATTTGCGATTTAGCAGGACTCGCCAGTATCTCCCTCTCCCTGTCCCTCTCGCTCCTGTCGTATGGGCTTGCAATCAATAATGATTGTCCTGCATTGTGCTCGTTGTGTGTGCCGTGCACAGCCGTAATTTATTGTCCTTTGGCTGTTTACCTTTCCCACGCAGAAGGTTGACGCCATTCGGTCGCCATTCGACTGCCTAACTGTATGTCCTGTGTCCTTCTCCTCTTTTTGCTTTGATTTTGACTTTTATTTTTTGCGTGTGCTGTGTCCTTCCTAGAAAGAGTCCACTGTGAACTAGTTCCCTCTTACAAGCCTTTGGAGCCGTTACCTAAACCCCTTCCTGAAGTCCTGTTGACTTTTCTTTAGCCTTTTATCAATATCCTTGTTAGCCACTTATAGGGAAACCGCTTGCCTATCCTGTAATTAAATAGACAGCCGCTGCATCCTTTTTGCGCAAATTGGGCATAATTATCCTTTCGTTAAAAAAGGATGGTGGGCGTGACAGCTGCCGCAGACGCTTAAGAGTAATACGCACGATGTTTGATTTGCTAAATTGTTGCCTGTGTGGTCAGGACGTTCGTCTGGGCAGAATTAAATTACAGTTCGTACATCTAACTCTGGTAACTATTATATAGATAATCAAAATACAGGATATTGTATATTCCAAGATTGAAAACCTAACCGTTTTGGAGTCACTGCTCATTGCTAAGAAATATAGTTTGAGAACAATTGTGCAAAACATCGCATGGTGGCGAGGAATGGAAATAGTTCTACAAATTTGGTCACATTGTGTGGAGGTTAGTCGATCAGAGTTTTCGTGCTGTCTTAACCTCTACAAGGAAAATAATATACCTATTTTAAGTACATTTTGGCTTACTATTGGGTTATTTATATTAATCAAAATCTTTATCTATTAATAAACTGTAAATATTATAGCCGAAACATGATTACTAATACGTCTAGCGAATTCCGGAATACCGTTTATGTCAATATTTAGTACATTTCCATATGCGAACCATCCTTCGCTAACCCGCCAACATAAAACTACTTCTAAATGACACTATAAAACATCATATTTAACAGTGACGGGCACATCTTAGAGTAAATAAATCATTTTTTGACAGCAATGAATATTTGATTTGCCATGTATTTATTTTTTTACTATGTGTATGCTATCTATTTATATTATTTTCGATTTTGGTAGTGACTTTAAAGTAAACCATGTAAAAATACTTAATTCGCTGTAAAATACTGAAATATAGTTTTCGCCCATTTTTGGCTTATTTTGCCTTGCACACATTTACATTCTGTCTTCTTTTTCCCGGCAAACAAAAAAAAAGGGAGAACTGATAAAAACGTAACGCAATAGTGGAAAATTGTTGAGACATGACGAGTTTTCGCAAACGGACCGTGCAAAAGCCAATTCGTGGCACGCGCACTAGCCCACACACTGGCCAGGTGATCACCTCCAGCGGTAATCCATCGCTTGATCTGATTTTAGGCGGTGGTCTGCCCATCGGTTCGATATGCCTGATTGGTAAGCAACGCAATAAAGCAATAAGTAGTCGTCCAATAACTGTTAACCGTTTAACTTATTGTGTTCTTTAGAGGAGGATCGCTTCATGACGCACGCCAAGGTGCTGGTCAAGTACTTCCTGGCTGAGGGTCTGCTATCCAAGCAGGAGCTCTTCCTTGGCAGCTTGGATGATTCGCCAGCTGAAATGTTGCGTCGCCTGCCCAAGCCTCTAACTGACGAGGAAATCGAGCAGGAGCAGCGCCAGGAGCAGGAGCAACAGGCGGACAAAAATGGACTTCGCATTGCGTTTCGCTACAACGATTTGCCGTTGGTCAACTCGGAGCAGGCCACTGCGAAAATTGGACATCATTTCAATTTGATGGAGCACATGGATGCTATGATGCTTTCCTATGGGAATGCCATCACATGGAATGATAAGAAAACAAACGAACTGACCAATCCTGGCTGGTTGCTGGATCCTATCGAGTCAATGCCTTACTCGTATGCCCAGGCTGTGGGATCCAAAGCGGACTCGGAACAGTCTCCACCTGATGCTGCTGCCCCTGAAGCAGCAGCAGTTGCTTCCCCTGAAGCAGCAGTAGTTGCTTTCCCTGAAGCAGCAGCAGTTGCTTCCCCTGAAGCAGCAGCAGCTGCTGGTGAAACTGAAGCTACACCCATGGAGCAGTCCGACGGCCAAAAAACTGCCAGCAACATCAACAACAACAATAATAACAATATGGATAACAGCACTGCCAATAATACGACAAGCACTACTGGAACAACAACCACAACAACGCCGACTGCATCGCCCTCAACTGGCAAGCCACAATTCTTCTACAACGCACGCTACGATCGCCTGCTCAATTATATCCAACTGCAGCTCAACGACCCCATCTTTGAGCCGGGCGCCAACATGCAGGAGAAGAATCTGTGCAGGGTCTGCCTGACCTCGCTGGGCTCCCCACTGTGGTACGACGATCACTTTGCCGAGGATTTGCTCAAGTTTCTAACTATATTGCGTGGCAGCGTGCGCAGCTACACTGCTGTTTGCTTCATCACAATGCCCATGCACCTGATAGCTAAATATGTGAGTTTGAAGTTGTTCACTCTGCTCATCTATAATATTTGTATTCATTCATGTTGATTTGTTTTTTACAGGACAGCAGCTTGGTGCCCAAGATTCGTCAATTGGTCGACTATGCCATTGAGCTGGAGTCGTTTGCCGGCTCTGAGCGCGAAACGCATCCTGCTTTCAAGGAGTACAGCGGCCTGCTGCATCTGCACAAGATGACCGCCATCAATACGCTGGCCGTGCACATGCCGGAGACCACCGACTTGGCCTTCAAATTGCGTCGCAAGAAGTTTGTCATCGAAAAGCTGCATTTGCCGCCAGGTGAGGAGATTTGATGGTAGTCTATTATAGATTCTTCTTTTAAATATTTTCTATGCATTCTCCCACAGATCTGCAAGAGTCAACGGAGCAAACAGCCAAGGGTGCAGACGTATTGCCAATGCCCAATTGCGGTGTCAATTCAAATGTTTCCATGGATTTCTAGTGCCTGTTTATGGACGCCGATATTATGGCCACGTTCTGTTGGTTGTTTCATTAAACCTAAACTTTTTTTTACATACTCTGTCTCTGCGCAAATGAAGGAACCCAAGCTGTGCGAATACAAATCAAAATTGAAACCCGCAGCAACTGCTGAAAAAAAAAAAAAACAAGGAAAAAGAACATTAACAACAAAATACCAATTATATATACAAAAATATAGTGCATCGGCGTTTATTGAACGCTCTTGCCATTAGTACAACCGATTTTTACAAGTTTTATTTCTTATTTAAAAATAGTTTATAATAATAATAATGTATACAGAGTGCGCCCGCAAAAACGATTTCCATATATACATTGTATAAACAATTTTCTAAAAGGAAAACTAAAAAAACAAAATGAGATACGAGCAAACAATTTGTAAGATTTTATGTAGTTATATATATGTACGTATTAAAACAACAACAAAAAGCCATTGAAATTTTTAAAATTAATATACAATTCGATTTTTTTGATTTACAATTATACAAATTTTAGTACAAAAAGTTATTTTTATTATAAATTTTATTTAAAAATCTTGAAAAGATTTTCATATGTTTGTGTATATGTACATCAGATCCGAGTTTCCTCTTCCAGGATTCGTCATCGCTTACTTACAAAACTAGCAATTTAAGCTCTGCAATATCTATAATGTGAAAGTAAAAAGAGGATACTATTTGAGTATGTATATTTGCATTGTTCGATCCTTAGCCTTCAACATATCTTAAAAGTATTTTTAAAACATTTGCAGCTCTCGCCTATGCGGTTAGGCACTTGTACTTCAGACTGCTGCGATACTTGCCGAGTTCCGATTTCAGCTTCATGTTCGGTCGCAGCGCATCGGCAAAGTACTCGTCGCACGGTGCATATGTCATATATAGTATAAAGTCGGCGGCCTGCAGTCCATCGGGAGTCTGATAACAGATCTTGGGCAGCAGCAATCGTCCCTCGTATTGACACTCCGAGAGCTTGTGACCCAGACCGCTCTCAATGGCCAGCTTCATGTTGGTGACGCCGGGAATTTTGATGCTGCAAATGGACAGAATAGTATTCCATATATGTATATGACATGTAATCGTAATTTGGCCTAAGCATCTATCTATCTGCCTAGCTAAACGTAATCATAATAACTATACAATATTTTTGTTGTAGTCTCGTTCAGCTAATGGAAACAGATACTGGGAATATATAAGCCCCATACATTTCGTTGATTTACTTCTGTCCTTACTCAATTTATATCCTAAACCGTCTTATGTAACCACAATATTGAATCTCACCTTGAGACTATCTGGCTAGAAAGAAGCCCAAGCAAGACGAATCGAAAGACTATATGCATTATTAAGATGTAGATCTATGAGACTCCATGTAAGCCAAGTCGGTTGTCTACGTTATTCTAAGTCTTTTTAACATAATAATACAACTAACTATATTATATGTATATAAAGGAAATCGAAATATGGACGAATCATTCAAAGAGTGATATAGCAGAACTCCTGTAGGAATAGATCGGTATAACTGACTGATTGTAATCTTAGTCGACTTAGTATATGACTACCCATTTGTCAAACTAACTCTGAGCTAAGCTAATTTCCTATAGCAGATCTGGCAAAGATTTCCACACATTTACTTGTTATCCTCCAGCTGCAGCAACAGCCTGTGCAGCACCAGTTGAGCGAACAGTCGAATCTGTAGATTGGCGTCCATGGTCAGCGGCAGCAGAATGTCGATAATGCGCTGCAGTTGCTCCAGTTTGATCCCGTTGTACTTACTGAGGCAGTAGATGTGCAGCACGGAGATCAGGGACAACTGCTGGCAGGACTTGAGCTCATTCAGCTGCTGCAGACGCTTTAGCAAGTGGTCGGCGCTGGGCAAACAGCGTGCCACCAAGCATTCATACATGTATCGGATATTGTCATGCTCGTTGACAGCGAGCAGAGCCTTCCACAGCTGGTCCGACCAGTAGCTGGGTCCCTTAAACGTTATCCTGAGCAAGGCGCGCGCTATTCGCATCTTGATGCGATGATCCTTGCAGTTCTCAACGTAGCTCTCGATCATCTCGTTGTTGATGCGCAGCAGCTCGTCGATCAGTGGGTGCGAATCCGATTTGCCTTCAATAACAAAATTAATATAACTATCCCGTTTCCTGCAGCTCGTAAAGAAATAATTGTACTGATTTATCAAATAGCCGTACTCGATGCTGCGGAAAGGACAAAAGAAATGAGATTGAACAGATAACCTAAACTGACTGCATTACCATTTTTCGCCTGACAACGGATTGCCCGAGAGTATGCCACGTATCAGCAGCGCTGTGGGCACGCTCTTCGTGCAGCACAAAATGTTTATATTGAGGAACTGGCTCGCCTCCAGGACATCATATAAGATCTGATCGCTTTCCTCAACGGACCAATGCGCGGAGGTGTACTTCACAATGGCTGTGGCGCTACATGTGAAAATTAAAGTACAAATATGATTAGAATACCTTAAAAGTTAAGAGAGATCAACTAGGCGATACCCTTCAAGCTAGCATACATAGTGAATATAGTTACTGAGGCCATCCGTCATAAGCATATTCTATGATAAGCCTACGCAATAAAACGTATTTAATCTATAAATATGTATGATTATCCACTAATTAGTGAGTTTCTTTGAGCAATATCTGATTTTACTATACTAAATATATTATATTAATTTGAATATGAATGTATAAAAAGTGTATAAATTTTTCAGTAGTGCAGGATATTTCACATAGAAACAACTAAAATATATCTGATCTCTGTTTAATATCTACAAAATATTTCTTCACTCTCTTTACAAAATACCATTACCCAATGTAGCACTAGGTATCCCACTCGCATGTACATATATGTGTACTTACACCAGGACACTATCTGGAAATTGCTTGAGATATGCTATCAGGGACTTGAGTATGCTTTCATCCTCTAATCGATCCTCGATTCCATTCAATAAAGTCGCTATACGCTGAGCCGTTAGAATTGTGCCTTGGTTAAGGAGTTCCGCCGGCTTTAGGTTGAGCTCGTCCAGTTGGTTCCAGCTGATGAGTCTCTCGCACGTAAACCAATCGACAGCGCGATGCAGCACAAAGGATATTTCTTCATCCGTGTCGCACTCGAGCTTGTGCACCAAGTACTGCTGCAGCTCGTTGAGGTCCGTGAAGCGTTCCATCTCATCGATATTCAAATCGTACTGCTCCTGATAGAAGTCGAGTATTTGCATTCTCTCGCTCGCACACTCGAGCTTGAGACTGAAAAAGAAGGAGAAGAGACGCCACCAGCCATGCTGATCCTTTGGCAATTGGCTCAGCTTCTTGTGCAGCTCAATACCTATTTTGACATCTGAAACATAAGAGAGCCGCATATCCATGAATTATTATCTAAATTCTTTGATTTTTTCTCTCGCGGCTTTACCTGTGCGATATATAATCACGAATAGATTCTTGTCAAAGTGAACCAGCTCCTCACTTATATTATTGCAGGTGGCAATTTTCGTTGCAAATCGTTTGTGATCCCTGCAAAAATTATCACTGTTGCTGCAAAGGGCCCTCATAAACTGTATATAATCGCCCAGGGAAAAACTTTCAATTGTTGTCTGAAAGAGAATTGAAAGATTTACATACATTAAAAGAATCTGTTTTAATGTTTAGTCTTACATTGAAAAAAGTATATTAAAAGTATTGCATTTACATTAAAAGTATCTGTTTAAATATTTATTTAATATTTAGTTTTACATTAAAAGTATTAAAAGTATTAGATTTACATTAAAAGTATCGGCTTAAATATTTAGTCTCACGTAATCTTGTTTAAATTTTACAGCATTCATTTTCCATGAGTACTAATAATATTAGCAAAAATAAATACATATAAACCTCATAATACTAGTAATAATAATGATTAGAATAATTATAGATATCACTCATCTTTACGAGTATAACTGTAAAGCTTTATCTTGCTTCTGTCTTTAAATGTTTTTTTCAGCACGCTCCCTATATAAGCCATAGTTTGGGTTCTTTATGCAAGTACACATTTTCAATTGCAAATCTCGAATACCATAACGGAAATACAATACTGTCCTACGTATATTGGGAATACCTGAACGTTATGCCTTACAATATTGTGCCATTATTAACCCTTTTATAATAGTACTAATGGGTATGTGTACAAAAAAATTTCTATTGCTTCAAGAGAGGGGAAATGGTTCGTCTTGAACAGCCAGACAAACGAATCTCAAACAACATCGATATGCCCGTATCACTTTGTGAATTATTAACGGATATTTATCGGAAAGAGCTCGGCTAAAACCTTACCTCAAATATGTCGAACATTCGATTCTGTGCCTCGTAGCGCAAAGTTTCGTGCTGCATCGACTTGACATGGCCGCAGATCTTCAGGATTAACGCCATAGCCACATGTGGCTGGCGTGGAGGCATGCTGCGCAGCCAGTGGAGCAGGGGGAGGCTCTGCCACGGCACCAGGACCAGGGCCTCGAGAAAATTCACCGTTCCACTATTCTGGACAAAGGTCTTGATGTTCTGCTCGGGCAGCAAGTAGTCCTCGGCATCGTACAGATCCGTTTTGTTGGTGGCAGCCAGGAATTCGGTGAGCAGATTGGCTCGACGCAGCTCCGAGACAGTGGAATGTGAGAGGAAGTACTCCAGGGTCCAGCGCACGACGAATTTGTTGCGGTTCTCGAGCAGTCGCAGGTAGAGGATTCGCAGCCAGCTCAGCCAGTCATTGTCCTGGCTGCAGGCCACAAAGCGCGGCAGATGGCCGCTCAGCATGGGCAGCACCAAGTGAGAGTCGTCCTGCTCCAGTTGCTCCATGATGACGACATAGGCCGGCCAGTGGGGCTCCACGCACTTGAGTGCCTGCTGCAGCTGTGGGCAGTCCTTGTGGAAGTCCTCGCTCCTGCCAATGCTCTGCAGCAACTTTCGCATTATCGAATAGGCCAACTTACGATTCTCTCTGAGCTCCGACTGCAAAAGCTTTCGTATAACGGCAAACAGCTGCGGCGAACAGGTGTACTCGAGCCCGAGCTCACGCACAAAGTCGTCCAGCATATGCTCGAGTATTTGCCCGGCATGCGGATGCAGCTGCTCCGGCTCATCCTCCGCATTCGTCGAATCGCACAGCGATATCGTCGACAGTTTTCGCAACAGGCATAGTCCTGACCAGGGAAACTGCTTGGTATGCGCCTGCACAGCGTCCAGGACCTTGGAGATCTGCTCCCGATTCACCTGCACGCTGGCCCTATCCGCAATCACCACCGAGATGAGCTTGTCGTACAGCTTGGTGCCGAACTTGACGTCGTTGTTGCTATTCAGCTGGCTGTAGATGCTCTGCAGCACTCGACGGAGCGCCTCCTCGTTGCCCTTCACCTTGTGTATGTCGATCAGGTCGCACAGCATGTTGTCCATTTCTACATTTTCACCATTTTCGATATGACCAGTTTCCACAGTCTTCGAAATTTGCATTGTTTTTTCTTAACTAAGTTTACTAATGTGCTGTTCATATACAAAAATATAAAGATAAGTATTAGACTGTCTGTCGTGACGATATATTGATAGTTGACCCAAATGTCAATGGGAAATGTGTTTACACAAATGAATCGGAAAATTCGAAACAATATTCTAAGTAGAACCCATGTGAAGAATCTTTCGAAGGGGCAAAGCATTTCGAAATTGTTGCACCCTTACCAAAAATAGATCATATTTGGAATAGTTATACAATTTAAAATAGAGTTCCCCTCTAAAATTCTTGAAACTAAAAATTTGCCAAAACTTTTAATGCTGATGAAGCAAAAAAAACATTAAGAGATTATTTTAGATATCAATTTGGATAAGCGAAATCAATTAAAATTATATTTTCAGAAATCTGAAAATGTTCGAAAACAAAACAATTTGCATATTTGAAATAAATTTATATAAAATTGACATAAAAATCAATTCTTATAAATGTTGAAGGAGACAAAACTTTTCATAAGTTCGTCTATAAATAAATCTTTATCAGGATACATATATGTATATATATATATATATATATATATATATATATATATATATCTATATATGAATACATATATATATATATATATATATATATATATATATATATATATATATATAT